ATCTTGCAGCTGTTTGGAATCCTGGGCCACTCCATTCTCATATCTCAACCAAGTCAAGATGTGTGAGCTTGAGCTGTAACAAGTTTTCATCTGTAGAAAACTACAGCAAAGGCCAGAAGATTGGCAGAAATCTGGTTTTCAGCCTTTGGACAAGTCAGTGTACCTGAAGAGACATGAGAAACAGGGTCACTTTATCAGACCTCCAGACTGGCTTGACCAAGGAATCATCCGTACTTCATCTCCCCTTCTCCTCTTCTTCCTCAGTCGAAGGCAGAGTTGACACTGGCTCCTTAGTGCATGCCATCCAAAAACAGAACACTCCCTAGTCCTCAAATTTATAAATTTATAAGTCCTGACACATTACTCCAGCCACCCTCTCCCTCTGCTGTCTCCCTCCTCACTTTCTTGGTACCATAAGCAAGGCTCGCTGTCATTTCAGTTTCGTAAGGAAGTACCTTCTTGTCCCATTCTCCTTCCTTTTCCTAGCTGGTATGCCACTTACATAAGTCAGACAGAGCTATTGTTTTGGCAGCAGATAGTGTAGTTCTGAATCTCCTCCCCACATGTTAGCCGTGTGACCTTGTGCAAGCCAATTATTTCCCTAAGCCCATACATTTTCCTCTGTAAAATGGAGAAAACAAGAGTGCTCGTTTTGTACATTTGTTGCAGCATCAGGAGTTGAGATGAAAAACACCTGTCAAGTATTGAGCACGATGCTTGCTTAGACAATGAGGCCAATGATAAAGACACTGGTAAGCAGGACCACTTGTCCAAAGCATTCCTTCGAAGGAAGCCAGTGAGTAAGCCAGTTCCCCAGACCAGGTGACCAGGGAGTTGCTAGGAATGCTGCTACCTGCTACTCAGGAAGGAGAGGAGGCAATTATGCAGTATGCAGCAAAAATAATCTTTTTTTTCTAATGCCCCTCCCCTACTGGGACACTTCGAACCCAAAGAATAAAAACAAGGTGGGGGTAGAATCCAGAAGAACAGTCATGTTGTGAAGGAGCCTAGTAATGAAGGGACAGCACACAGGGCACACTTGGGCCCCCAGACATCTGCAGGGGAGCTTCTTGGAGCTGTAGATGCAGCCTATGCTGAGTGGTCCTTTGGGGCTGAGATGCCTGACTTTGCTTGCCATGATCTGTTTGGGAAAATGTAGCGGAAGAGAGCATTGGGGTCCTCTCTTCTGCTCGCCACCACTGAAAACATAAAAGAATGTCCCCCTCTCCTCCTGGAAAAAGTGAAAATCCTCACAGGCACCAGCTAATAAAAACAAAATTGCTTAAACTGCACATAGAATTCATGCCTGTACTCAATACATATTTCACACCAACCTCTTCTGAGTCCCATGAGAATCCACGTATTTGTGCATATGCTGCCCCATCCTTTTCAAATGCCCCTGACAGCTTCTAGGTCTCCTATCCTGGGATACTGCAACAACCCAGCCTCTTCCATCCAGGGGAGGAGAGTCCCCAGACCCTGTGTGTCATCCCTGCTCCTCCCTGTTCACATCCTTGGCTCCTCCACTGAGAAACATCTCCATGTCTCCCAAGCAGAGTGAGCACTCCCAGAGACATCCCAGCTACCGAGGGTGTGATTTAACCCATCTGTCAGATGGGAACAAAAAGCACAGAAAGGAAAATGTCCAGTCCAAAGGAAAAGTTTTGCCCCTTCTCTGGACTCAAACAAAAGCAAATTGAGAGGCTGTCCCACAGCTTTGTCAACTTCACCACGCACTGACACTATCATCAAGCTATTTCCCAAGCCTATGCATTTAAATAATACCATTCTGTTGTTAAAGAAAATAAAGAAATACTCAATTACACAAGTGATGGGACAGGTGAGAGGCAGGGCATATTAACATTGAATTCCAGCACTATTAAAGAAATTAAAAACACTGGAGATAATATGAGTCTACCACCCAGAATTGGTAAATAAGCAACTTGCATACCCCTAGAGGCATCATTTCATAACCTAGAGAGCTAGTGAGCTTATACACAATCCCCAGGCCAAGTTTTGAGTCCTCCTACGTTCACACAATGCCTTCTTTTGGGCATGTGGGAAGGGAAAATGATGCTAGGGTTCAGCTCAGGAAGAGGCTATAAACAAAGGGTACCAGCGAAAAAGCTGGGCTGAGCTGAACTATGCTCTTTCTGCTACTGCTGCGTGTGGTTTCCACACATCTTTCACAGGCAGGATGCTGCCCTGCTGGGCAGAACTCCTGCTGCACTACAGCTCTTCTTTCTGGGTCCGATATCAGGGCCCAGGAACTACAAGGCTCCTACCACTCATTTTGGGCATAATTTTAGTAACAGTAGCATGCCGGACTGATGGAATAGCAGTCCTGTTGAGTCAGAGCAAGAGCATCCAGGATGACCTCTGCCAGGTTCCGAGATCCTGCTTACAGTGTCGAAATGTAAACAACTAGACAGTTCTAACATCAAGACACAAACCTTAATTTGCCAATACACAACCTGATTCTAAGGGAGACTGAAGCTTGGCATCCTTGGCGTGATCCATACCCACACATACAAACACACTCTACTATACCTCTCAACATCAATTATGACTTTCACTTTCAGGGCAAACAGAGATACCTTGCTCCAAGCAGATTCCACACAGCTTACTCCTTCCACTTCTTTACTTAGAGAAGGGTGACCTCAGGCAATTTGGCTTCTGCAGGTCAATCCCACGAGAACATGAGGCTACACTGGTGCCTTGACTCTGAGCTCCCCTCTACTTCCCATGGAATCAGAAGCGGGAGGGTTTCTCCCCATTTCAGGTTTTCCTGCATCATTTTCAAGGTCATGTGTTTGGAATAGAAGTAACCCAACCTCATAGACACAGGTAGAAGACTTACTATTGTAGAAGCAATATTACTGGGCGACTTGTCCCTGGGATTGATGGAGCATAGGAACCAGCTCAATGCAATCAATATGTCAGGGCACGAATGGCAACCAGCCTTGGGGAGCATGACGAGCTACTGGCTCGACCTATTCACTCCCTGGCATTTCAGGAGCAGTTGGGTTAGTAGATCACAGCACACACAAAATGAAAAGCTCAGGCAGAAGGGGAGAGTAGAAGGAACATAGCAAGTTGGCCCTCAGAGGGGGACAGTTAACACTTCACATAAGTCAACCTGAATCCACAGAGGGTGATGCCCTATTTTAGAAAGAAAATCTCAGGAGAAGTCTGAGGGAGACAGAGTTGCTTTCCACCATTCATGGCAGCAGTAGGATTAGATCAGGGATGATCCTTCCACCATGAGTCGCACACTTGAGGAGTCTCATGGACAACTCAGAAGGTGGGGAATAAACTCAAGATCCTGCTTTTTATAAACTTTAAATTCAAACACTCTCTGAGGAGTCTACACTGCCATAAGAGCTTATTTCCTTATCCACTATACCTATGAATCATCCAGAAATATTTTTAAAATATAGATTCCTGAGTCTGCATTAGAGATTCTCATTCAGTTCTTCAGGAAAGAAGCAAAAGTACACATTTTTAACCATCTCCTGAAGTGATTCTGACACAGGGAGTTCATTAAAACAAAACTAAACAAACAAATGGAAGAGACCCGTACAGCGGACCTGAATCCGCCCTGTGTCCAGGCGCCTTTCATGTTCAGGCTGCCAGAGGAAGGCAGAAGGAACTCAGAACCCCCTTCTAAGAGGCCACAGCTAGGACCATCATGACTTGCGGTTGCATACAGGTTTAACTCCTCAAACCTCTTCTCTGTCCCATGGCCTTGAGTTCAAAGCAAGCCTTAACACCCCTAGAAATGTCAGGGATTTTAAATATTAAGCAGCGAAGTCTCAGGCAGGACTTGGGGCCCAGGAAATCAGCTCTGACTTCTGGAAATTGTCCACAGCCACCACATGCTCTCTCTCCACCCACTCTCTCATCCAACAGCAGCCCAAAGGGGAATAAGAAAAGAACACTTCTTTTTTCAAGTGGTCTTAATGACGTAGGATGAATCAGGGGTAAGTATAAGGATTTGTACAGAGTAGGCAGAGGATGGGCACTGAATACACGGTTGCCTGAGGAAAAGCAAAGACTATGGTAAAAGGTTCCCAGTCTGGCGAAAACCTAGAAATTAGTGGAACTGCAAAAAGCGACCACAAGTGCCTGACGCCTCATCCAAGCCCTCAAGCACCTCAAGTGCAGTCAGTGCCTCAGAGGCAAGAGCGCCTAGCTCAGGCAGCTTCCCTGCGGCTGAGAGCAGGGACTGTCCCCGCGGAGCTGCCGCGCTGTGCCTCGTGTCCATGGCAAAGCCTGTTGTGTAGACGCACACGCACCCTCTTACCTCTGGCCTCGCAGACTCAGACAGCGATGCAGATACGTGCTGTCTGCTGCTTAGGGATGCCTCTCGTCTCCTCACGGCACCTTGGCGGGGCTCCAGGTCAAAATCAGAAATAGGCAATCACCCCTGCCTCTGCGCCCACCGTCACCCGGACACCCAGGTCCATTGAGGTGGGGGCGACTCCCGCATTCGCTTCCCGACTGGGTCTCGAACCGAGGGGCAGGAGAGGCAGAACGCGCGTTCAGCACCAAGGACAGCGCAAGACAAGGTGTGGGTGCACCGAGACAAGGCCCTAGCTCCACCGGTCCGGGGCTTCTGCCCTTTCAAATCAAAAAGTCACTGATCGCCCCTGGACAGAGCCGCCCGCATCAAGCCTTCCCGTTCCTCAACGCTAGGAAACTCCGGTGCGCGCTCTCATGGAAGGTCGGAACCGGCCGCCTTCTGAAGCTGCAGTCCCCAGGGCTCCCTCTCGGGGCTGGCCGGGAGGTTCTCGCGACCGGGATTCCTGTTTGGGCGGTGGGAGAGGTACAGAGGAGGGAGGGAGGAAACGTCCCGAGCCAAAGGCCCAACTGAGGGCGGAAAGGGAGCCCAAGCCCAGCGGCCGGCAAACTTCTGTCCCATCCACGCGGCTGTCGTCAATCCCTACTCCTTCATCCCGGGTCTGTGGGACCCGGCGTCGTATCCGATCGGTGCTTACCTTCAAGCCATAGGGCGCCCGGGGGCAAAGACAGCACCGGCTGCGCAAACCTTCCGGCGCCCACTGCATCCACGTGCGGCCGCCCCTCCGATAGCCGTCCCGGGCCGCCGCTCTCCTTGGCGGATGGCTGGTCCCGGCCCCGCCGCGCCGTGCAGAGCCTCGCGGCTCGGGCCCGCGAGGAGCAGTGGACGGGCCGCGGCGGGGCGGGGCGGGGTGGGGCGCGGGCGGGCGGCGGGGCGGCGCGGGGACCGGGCGCGGAGGCCGCTCGGCGCGCGCGGGAGGCGGCCGGTTCCGACACTGAGGCTGGACCACGGGAGCGCCGCGAGCGCCGAGGGAGGAGGCGGGGCACGAGGCGCCTGGGGCCCCGCCCCGCCGTGCGGGAGTGCCGGCTCTGCGCCCCAGACCCCGCGGGAAGCCTGGAGGTTTCCACCCTCCACGTCTCGGCTCGCCGGTTGCGTTCGTGCAGGGTCACGCAAATATCACCAGGAGAGTCACAAGTCTGTCTGGGGTCTCTTGTGTGGTCAGTTCGGTTGCTAGACACTGCCAGAGGGAAAGTCTGTTTAGAATTGATCGAGACGGGAATGCAAAAAGCTGCTTCGGGGATTCCAGCTCACCTTTGACTCCAAACTGAGGAGAGCCTGGTGGGGAGTGTAGGGAGAAGAAGCAGGTGGTAGTGTAGTGAACACCGCTTCGAGGCTGCCCCTGTCCGCAGGAGCCTCCTGCTCTCCTGCCATCCTCTCTCCTCTTCCTCATTCCTTCTTCAGCAGTTAGTTCCAGCCTGTTCTGCCTTGACCACACAGTCTATCAGATGCAGGGGCCACAGGCAAGAATAAAGCCAGGATCCTGTTTCCACATGCTGTCAATTCAGAGTGGAGACTCCGGGAAATATCCAATAGCACATCAAGTACCTGCCGCAGGGTCTCAGTGACTTCCAACTCAGCCCCTTTACTGAAGTGCAAGGCCAGATCAGCCTGGTACAACCTGAGCTGGCACCAAGGTTGGCGTCCTGCTGTCAACTGCTATTAGCCTCATCTACTGTGCAACATCTTACGTTTGTGTCACCTGCCTCGATCCTTGAATCTCCCCGAACCTCAGTTTCCCTGTGTTTGGGGCTAAGCATACCTGTGTCTAGGATTACACTGAGGATGTCTTAGACAAACTGGAATAAGGACAGACTCCACCACAGCCCAGCCCCCGCTCTCCAGGAACTAAGAAGGCCAGCTTCACTATTAGGAGATAGACACAAAGCGGGACACCTTCTACGGGAAAACCCAGCCCAGGGACACGGTAGTTCTGCGCTGCCCTCCCCCCTTTTAACCTCGATCTTGCATGGCTGAGTGAATTTAATGCTGGCAGTGAGTGAGACGGATGGATCTTTTAGTTTTCAATTAGCAAAACGCCTCGCTCTTTAAACAAGCCAACAGATGCACTGCGTGATGGATGACAGGCAACATCTGCCGCCGTTCTGTGGCTGCACCAGAGGCTCCCTGGCTCCCCCGCTGTACGGGCCTCTGGAGGTCATTGGGTGCCTCCCCTGCCTCCAGGCAGAACTGAGCTGTATCCAAGTAGGCTGGGTGGGGGACAGGTCATCCTTTCTCCTAGTGGCTGCTCTGGGAAATGGGCCACAGCAGCCTCCTTGGATTGCTTCTTTGCATGTTTAGGAATCTGAGAGTCAGGAAGTAATCTCCTGATGTGCTACTTACCTCTTTATGTCTGCCATTTCATTGTTGTAAAGGGCAAGAGGAGTGGATAGCAGTGGAGGTTAGGGGCTGTTCCGGGCCATTTGGATCGCTGTAACAAAGTACCATCAACTAGGCAGCTTATAAAGGACAGAGATGTTTATCTCACAAACAAACTGGAAAGTTCAAGGGCAGGACACTGGCAGATTCAATATCTGGAAAAGGCCTGCTTCCTGACTTGTGGATGGTACTCTCCGTTTGTCTTCAAGTGGTTGTCAGGACAAATGAACTCCCATATGGCCTCTTTCTTAGGGACACCAAACTCATTCATGGGGACTTAGAATGAACTCCTGTTCCTCATATCATCCACTAAGGAGGTAAGAACATCAGCATATGGATTTGGGATGTACACACACCACCAAACCATAGCAGGTGTAGTGAATGATGGGGTAAAGCCAAGTGGGAAGTTTGCTGGATCATGGTAATCGGGGAACAAAGGACTGGGACAATAGAGAACTAGGGAGATCTGAACATTCTCCTGTGCTCCAAGCACTGCCTCTCAAGGTGTAGGAGAGCTGGCTGGGGCTGGGAAAGCAGGAACCTACAGTGGCACACAGGTTGTCCTAGCCCTTCTGAACATCATTCCAGAGAAAATAAAGCAAATGTGCTCATCGGTAGGATCAGGAGGCAGAGAACACTCCACAGCAATATTGGCCTCAGTTGGAACTTTGTCCATGTTCCAGACTCCACCTCCTGGGGGAGTGCTGTTTCTGAGGTCCAGAAACACTAGGAAGAGAGATCCACAGAAAGTGGAGAGACTGGGAGATCCACAGACAGTGATAATGCAAAAATAAAAATGGGGATGCAAGTGATGTATTCTGGTGCTCAGCATGTTACCCCCACCTAACACACACAGAGCTCCAACCAGAGAGAAACCGAAGGACATGCACAAGTCAAGTCCCCACTCCACATTGCTTAATCTATAAAGACCTGAGGTCCTGTTTTCAAGCTCTGGGAACTCTTCTTTTGTTATTTGTCTCTGTCCTGCGTTGTTGTTTTTGGTCCATTTGCAAACAGATTCCTTATTATTGGCATGTTCTGGGAATACCAAGGTGACAGGCAGTCCATTTGGGTCAGGGGCAGAAGGGAGCAAAAAAAAGTGACTCTTTTGTGCCTATTCTGTCTCACACACCACAGAAAGCATTAGGAATGTGCAGAATGCCTGCCTACTGATGCTGAGAGAGTCATTGGGAAAAGCTAGTGAGGAGACAGAGGGAGGGTTAGGCTAGGAATCCGCAGGGAGGCGTGGAAGAGGAAAGGAAGGGACCATCCATTACCAATGCAGGGCAGCAGAAAGTTATCCAAAAGTTTTTATATCTATGTATGTAATTTGCTTACCAGTGAACTCAAATGGGCTTATCCACCTTGATGTGACGTAGATCTTTGTAGATGTTCTTAGCCTCCTGTTTTGAAACAAAGACTAGAGGTGAGACATAGAATTAAGTAATTCTATAATATGTCTCTTCAGAGTTGTAAAACAGACAAATTACAGTGTAATTACCCATATTGCAAATTTGTTTAACTTTTGGATGGGAAAAAGTCATGAAAATACATACTTTATTTGTACATGCATGGTCATAGCAGCATTATTTTTTAAGACTTATTATTTTTATTGGAAAGGCAGATTTACAGAGAGAAGGAGAGACAGAAAAGAAAGGTCTGTCTGCTGGTTCACTCCCCAAATGGCTGCAACAGTTGGAGCTGTGCCAATACAAAGCCAGGAGCCAGGATCTTCTTCCAGGTCTCCCGTGTTGGTGACAGAATCCTAAGGCTTTGGGCCATCCTGTACTGCTTTCCCAGGCCACAAACAGGGAGCTGAATGGGAAGTAGAGCAGCTAGGACACAAACCAGTGCCTATATGGGATCTCAGCACATGCAAAGCAAGGGTTTAGACACTGAGCCATCACGTTGAACCCATAGCAGCATTATTTAGCATAGCCAAAGGTGCAAATAACTCATCTACCAGGAACCATAAAATGTGTAAACATACAACCGGATATTCATCAGCCCTACAAAGGAAGGTAATTCTCACACATGCTATGACATGGAAGAACCTTAAACATTATGTAACATGCCGCAGGTCACAAATGGACAAATGGTATAAGATCCCACTTACATGAATTCCCTAGAGTTGTCAGTCCACAGAGGCAAAAAAATGGAATGGTGATTGATGGAGAATGTGAACAGGAATGCATAGAGAGGTGTTTAATGGATACGTAATGGGTTTAGGATTTCAATTGGAAAGACAAAAGTTCTGTAGGTGAATGATAATGATGGTTGCACATCAACATTAGCATACTAAATATTACTGAACTATATAGTTATATGTTTGAAGTAGTAAATTATGTCTTAAATGTCCTTAACCACAATAATATATACCTTGCCAGTATTCACAGTAGTTGCCAACATATGTGAAAAACAATTAAAACAATGTTAGAGATTAGCAGGTAAACATATAGGGAAGTGACTGAGTTGAGAGAACAATCAATTTAACAATGACTTCTGAAGTAATATTAGTCACTACTGGCTCTAAGTGCTTCAGCTCCTTCTTTGGATACAAGGAAACTTCAAAAGGCTATTGGAAAAACGAGATTCAAATGCAGGCTTATTTGGTACAAAGATATCTGAAATCCATAATACACCTTTCTCATGAAATTTTTGAAGACCCCTCATAATATAGCATTTTCTCATATGATCTCCATCTCCTTTACCTTCCTACGACCTTGTGGTATCAAGAGTGTCATTCATCTGGGAGTGTCCTAGGCAGGTTAAGAATGGGCTCCCTTGTAAAGGATGGGAGCAGGCAATGAAAAGAGATAAATTTTCAGTAACTGTCAAGAACTAGTCAATTACTCAAGTTCTGAATGGAATTGTGCAGCTCCGAGAAAGCTCTTAATTGGGAAAAAAAAAAAAAAAAAAAAAAGCCCAGTCAGTCCTTTGCTTGCTTTGTTGAGGGTAGGTGGATTAGGAGCAGAGGTGTTTTAGGTCTGTAAAGTAGCCAGTAGCAGCATTTGGGGCTCTTTGCCTCACAGCCTGTTCCTCTGCAGGTGTTGCCCCTCTTGGAGAACTACACCTGCAGCTGCTCATGGCCTCTCTTTGCCCAGCGCAATCAGGGAGCACGGATGTGAGAGACAAACACTTCTGGCGGCTGTCAAAGAAAGGAATTTATTGAACATATGGGAGGCACTCACAGAATCACAGGGACGATTAGAGGGCCAAAATTGTTAAATAGGCAAGGACACAAAACAGCTAGATACTTCCATCCAAACCCAAACTTGAGTCACAGTCCAGCGTGTACACAGCTATTGTATCTAAATAGATGGTACCAGATGGCACCTCTGCTGCTGCTAGTATCAGATACTGGCATCCCTTTGGCTCTCTGTTCTGTCAGTCCTACAAACTGGAAGTCGTGGTTATTTGTGCAGGCTCTAGAATGGATCCTCCACTGGCCCTGCTTCTCAAGTCACCAGCTCCTGCATCAAGATCTGTGATACCTGCTTCTCCCTGGGGGAGCTGGGGCATGAGCTATACCTTGCAAGAAGATGAGGGCTCTACCAGCT